TCTGAAAGAGAAGTTCCAGTTAGTTCTTTCGCAGGAGCTTCATGGTGCCAGAAGTTGTATATCCACACTTTAAAAAACTTTGCTGCTAAACTTTCACATTTTTTGGAACCACATTCATCTGTGAACAGGCCATGCTGATTGACTGTAATTTGAAAGCAAGAAGAAAAAAAAAACCAACTGTAAGTTAGTTCCACGGTTCCGGAACATGCACAAGAATAAACACTTATATACTTCACAATAAGTACAATAGTACATTTGTGGTGAAAATTATGATGTAAAATGACAATAGCAAAATTAAAGAAGAATCATTCGTAAAATTGCTAACTCTTGTTGTAATTCTTCAATTGGGAGTGCTAAAAAAACTATATACTTATGCGGGCCCCCCTAGTCTCCAAATTTTGTTTTATGCGGCCCTCGGTAGTAAAAAGATATTAAATCTGAATTCTAAACCTAGATTAACGTAAATCCTATTTTAGGTGCCACACATCGTAAGATATATATCTCTAGTTCTAGATCCAGTCTAGATGAATTACTATTCTGCAATCAATTAATTCCTAATCAGTTTGAAGACATCATGTAAACTGACACATTGAAAGGAACTCCGCTTTATGAAGATCATTAAGAACTGGTAAACATTTAAATATTCGCGCGATACTATTTCGTGGTAGATCTAATAAGAATAATCCATTTCCAGGCTTTGACACACTGATGATTAGCAAGAACTACCTTTTTTTTTAAATAAATTTTTTTTTTTTTTGCTCTAGAGGTGAAAATGCGTATTTTTAGATTATAAACCGTACTCGCGTATTTTCGTGTCCATTTGCGTACTACTTGTAGCAACTCTGCCTACATGTCAAGAGAAAGCACTCAAATGAACTTCAGTAGTTTTTCTTAGGAGTTTGAAAAGGCTACTTCTACGGACCATGTCAAAGGCTTTAGTCAGATCAACAAAAACGATGTAAAGGGGTCTGTCTCTCTCCCTGAATTTCTCCCGCAGTAGTCGTAAGAGGATATCATGTGAAATCATGTCTATGGTGGATCTACCACGCCTGAATCCACTGAGACTCTGGGTACTCTAGAAGCTATCACTTGCAGCCTGGATAATGCCACTCTATCAAGGATTTTACCAACTATGCTGAGGAAAGAGATACCCCTATAATTTCCTTTGTTTTTATATATTGTGACTATGTTTGCGTCACGCATGGCCTGTGGAAGAAGTTCGGCTTAAATATTAGTCTAAGCAAGACTAAGATACCAATTCAGAACACAAATACTGCACCTCACGTAACCATTCATGGCCGCAACCACTAGAAATTGTTGACCAATTTTGCTATCTTGGCTCCATCATATCCAACGATGCTCTACTGTAGATCTAGATGCACCTTATAAAAAGCCAACGAAATGAATTGAATTGATGACTATTATTTGATCTTATCAGCACTGCTGTGTTTTGCTTTAGAAACAGTCTTAAGTTAAGTTTTTTACTTAGTAATACACAAATAAATTGTTTTAAAATTTGGACAATGAATACCGTACACATCTTGCATCTAGATCAGGAGTGGGCAAATTGCGGCCGCCGGAGTATTTTATGCGGCCCGCAGACACCTACAGAAATCAGGTGTGCCGATAGATTATACATATAATAAACGCAAAGATATTAAAAATAACTAATTTTAAATATCTAAATTATTGAAACATCTATAAGCTGTTTCTTAGCACTTATGATGAACCTGGCTGCATGCGGCGTCGGAACGAGACAGCTGGAGGTCACTCGCGAAGGCCGCAGGATACACATTTGAGACCAAAAGAAAATCTGCTGCCGACAAGCGCAGACGACGAAAAGAAAATAAATCGACCACCTGCGGACAATGATTATGCTTGCCCTGGAGGTGGCAAAATATGCAGGTCACAGCTGGGGCTGCGCAGCCACGGGAAATACTGTATTCTTCATTAATCTTCGAACTCGAAGACAAGCCTTATTATTATGATGAAAAGGCTAAAAAATATTGTCTCTACACGTCATTCTAAAAAGTTTAAATTAAACCATAATTATTCTTATTGGCAATATTTCAAAACATTCAGTAAAAGACACAAACTCGGGCCGGTATTTATTTATTAAGAACTGTGTTGAAAGTGTCGGGTTGGCTTGAAACAAGATGGCAAATGTAACAATTGGAGGAACCCGTGCTATGACTTAGAAAACAAGTTGTTTTTAAATATAAATTAAAGAACAATATACCAGCCATAAATTCTAAACGGGAAAGTTTGCACTAAGCTGCATTAAATATAAAACATGTTATTGACCTAGTTATCTCAGTGATCAAACCTAACAGTGCTAGTTTTAACCACAGGAAGTCCTGTTAAGTACTTGAAGATATGGAAACAAAACATTCCTATGTTCGGTACCACAGTAATGTCCGCTGGGTTAGCATGGGTAAGGTATTGAGAAGAAAATATGTTCCTTGAAGGACATTGACTGTGACTTTGTTGCTAATAATTCTAATGGAGATTAGAAGAAGACAGACTTCTTGTTTTACATCAAGAGTATTACAATGGTTTGTTTGCACATGAAATGTATGTGCACGTTAATTTTTTTCAAACAAAGCTTTCCTATTTCTGCAGGCAAGCAAGTGAAAACAGGTTTTGTCATTTTTCTTTGCTAAAAGGTGAAACTATTTCTAGAGAAATGTTAAAACGTACAAGGCTTATTTGGATTCCTTGATTGTATAATTTGAAAGGAAACCAGTTTTCAATACCCTCAAGCTTACCATTTAATGCTAAAGCTGATTCAGCTTCAGAGATATATCTTCAAGCAAATTATGACCTGAAAGAGAATTTCTGGCAGTTCTTTCTCGGGAATTTATTGGTTGCCAGAAGCTTTGAAAAATGTTGATGATTAACTTTCCCATTATTTGGGTCCACAAACATCTGAGAACAAATCTATTTTTGTTTGATCTAAAAGGTCAGTGCTGACTGACTGTAATTTGACAGCAGTCACAAAGAAAACTAGTATAACGTAAGCTAGCTCCATAGTTCCGAAACATTATACACGAGTGTAAACAGTTTAATACTTCACATTAAGTAGAACTGGACAATTTATGGGGAAATGTGCTGTAAAAGACGACAAAATAAAAAATACTGGTAAAATTAGTTTTGGAAATTGCCAATTCTTCTTTGTATTTAATCAATTGGAAGTGTAAAAAAAAAAAAAAGAAAAGTCAAAATATACAGTATTACAGTATACATGTGAATTAAAAGACATTGTACATAGTTAGCTCGCATATTTTTTAAAGTTGAAGCACATCTTATATTTATGCGGCCCCCTATTCCCTAAATTTGTTTAGTGCGGCCCTCGATAGAAAAAGGTTGCCCACCCCTGATCTAGATCTATTATAATGAACTGTTTTCTGAAGATTTATAAGAAGAAAAATGGGCAAAATGCATGCCTTACAAAAAAAAAAATGGTTTCATAGTTCTCGTTCTCATTATTATGTTGGAGTGTTCAGATAACTAGACCAGAATACGAGATGAGTGGAGCCAGGGTCTTGTTCGGGCCTCTTAATAAAGAATGCAGTTTTGAAGAACATGGTCAGCATTTTTAGCTTCCGGAACATATGTAGAAAAACTCTGTGTATCTGGTTCTAAGCTGGAGCTGAGGCTGGTGCATTTGAAAGTGAATTGTGTTTAAAGTGTTTTAAAAATCTTTTTTTTTTCAAACAAATATAAGTGATTGTCACATATATGCGTCAAGGTCGTATATTTGAAAATTATACTTGTTTCGTTTGTCACTGATGTAGTCGAGCACATAAACTAATTGCGCACTAAGGACGTACCGGTACCGGTAGTTCAGAATTGATTACAAGTTACCGGTACCGTGAAACGGGGTGACTTTGCACACTTTTCAACTTCCAACTAAATTTTCCCATATTTAAAGTACACTTAAACTATTATAAACTTGTTTTCCTACAGAGTGGATGCCTATACTTTAATAAAAACATTAAATAAAGTCAGTACATTATATAGGGAAAATACTTTTTGGGGGGCTTAATTGCCATTTTTTTCAAAAATGGAAAAATGGGGTGACTTTGCCTTCGAACTTTATATTCTTAATAAATGTATTTTAGAAGTAAATAGAACAGATAACCTTTTTTCCAAGATTAAGACAACATTTTTGAATAAAGAGGCAATAAAAGGCATCACAAAATTTTAGCTGTTTAAAGCATGGCTTCCTCCTAAAGTAAACAGTTAAAATCAATGACATTTATCGACAAATTCTTTGTTCGTGGTTGAGGTTTCCACTCATCTGACCCAGAATTTATTTCCCCACTGCTGGAATATAAGTGCTTCAAAGGTAGTAGCATTATTTTCATTCACTTGGAACATAGCTGATATTGAGAATGTTGGCTGTGAAGGATGTTGCCTTCTTGCGCCAATCTCTCAGAATAGCCTAAACAGAAATATTTTTTATTTTCAATCTTCTCTCAATGCCAGCTGAATTTCTGCTCATGCCTGTTTGTGTTTTCACTCTTACATAGCTTTAATAAAGTTTCTACATCATTATCTTTATGTCAGCTCAGCTTCTTTTTGGACACTGTTATCATGACTATCTGAAAGAAAAAATGCAACACATATAAGGGGGGTGACTTTGCCTCTACCTTGCCTTAGGCATAAAACCTGGTAATAAATTATTTAATTACAACTTCCTCTCATAATTGTAAGCCAAATTACAACTAAAAAAATGCATAAGTTCATTTTATTAAACATTCTATTAGATCTACACTTAAGTTGTAACTCACCTAAAACAGCTGAAAGTGTATTACATCTGCCATGTTTTGCTACTTACAGAAGAAAATAAGTATCGTTTCTAAACACTAACCTATATTCATTTATATTTAAATGAAAATTCATGGGAAACAACTCAGGAAAATCGTTTTTAAAGCCTTTCACATTTTTAGTATTAAGTAGGTAAAGTCACCCCATTTCACTAGTTTAAAACCAAGACGACATGAGGAAGTTTCCATTGGTGCCTAAAATAGCTTAGATGTTTCCCGCAATGGGGAAAAGACGTCGATTGTAGAGACTTTATAAGGAAATGCATTGCAAATATATAGAAATTGTATTGTTTATTTATAAGAACTTCAATAATATACTGATTCCAAATTCTAGAATAAACACTCTGTATTTATTTTAAAAAGTATTTCTGTTTGAGTTCATACTTGAAATTAGTTTCTCGCTGGTGTTTGAGTGATCAGACATTGTTTGGAGTGTAAAATATGCAAAAGCATAGAACATTACAAATAAATTGATGTTGCAAAATATGATTGTTTATTGTTTCCTAGTATCCCATAAAACCTTAACTTGAGGATAATAGATATTAAAACATGTCTTAATCAATAATTCAATTCGAACTAGCAGTCAGCAAAAAAAAAAAAAATCAATAATACATTTAAGTATAATATATTACCACTTTTCTCTATTGTTATGGTGAATATAATAGAAATGAGGACTTTTTTATAAGTTGAAGAGGAAAATAAAAATTGAATCTATGTAAATATAATGCCAAAGATATAAAGTTCTGGTTGAGTTTGCTGGAGATATCCATTTGGTTGCTGACCCACTTACACGGTACTCCTATTTGTAACATCTTTTCTTGTTTATGGAGTAGGCCTACACAAATAACAACAACTTGGCTGTGTATCTTCATAAATCGATTTTCTATAAAGAATGTTGCAATCTCTATGTGAATAATGCTCGATAAAAAAAAATATTTGAGATACCAGTAACTTATAATTACATGTTAAAATTAACTAAAACTTTTTTTTTGATGTTAAGTATGAAACCATGACAAAAGCTTTTGTTAAAGTTGAAATGTCCCGGTACTCTAGTTCATGCAGTAGTCCAAAGCAGGGTTTCACCAGGTGAGAAATGAAAATTAAAAAAATTCTAGTTAAGTTAACTGTTGAGAATTGTCGCTACTGGGAAGAACTAATAACAAAATACATTATATGTATTTCAGAATTTTTTTTTAGTGGAACCCTAACCCAATGGAATTATCACATCCATGATACCGACCTGTTACACAAATATATCACTTAAGGTACCGGGTACATAAGTATATTTTAGATAACATGAGAACAAGTAAACCAACACATATCAAGATAAAATTAGTTCAATATACATACATACATGCATATATACATATGTATATATATATATATATATATACATATACACACACATAAGTATATATATATTATTCTTAAAATCTTTCCAAGTAGTCAGTAATATTCATGGGAAAATTTGTCACTATTCATACATGTATTGATATGACATCCATGAAGCCACAACTGCAATTAGACAACCAACAGTAGTCCCTAAGAAAGAAAAGCAAAACAGTTGTAAATGTTTTCAATTTAAAAAAAAAAATTTTAAAATAATTTTTTTTTATAAAACAAAGCTTATAATTGTATCAATTAGTTTGGATCAGCCATGTAATCAAATTTGTAATAGATCTAGAGTAATCTAGACTAACAATAATAAATCTGTGCAATCAGAAATAATTTTACCAATTGTTTTTGATTAGCACAATTTCATGCTTATAGCTTTCTGAATTCGCTTTCACTTGTCTGGACCATTTGGAAAAGAGTGGGGGGGGGGGGGGGGGGGGGGGGGGGGAGGAGGTATCTATATCTATTTGAATTCGAATAAGGGCTGAAGCCTCCTCAAACAAAATACACAAACCACTGAGCCAGCAGATTGTTTATAAGAATAGAAATTTTTGAGTTATCTATTGTTACTTTCAAATGACCTAATTCTCTGTACAAAGTATAAAGAGGATTAATTCAACCTTATACCACCACATCAGTCAAGTAAAAATTTACATTTTATAACATTTTGACTTACAAAAAGAAGCTTTCATTAGATGTCTATTATCTGAGATTTGTGGTGCTGCTAACGATTGGTGACTGCTCATACAGGTTAAGGATGATGGACAGCTCCATGTTCCATCATCAGCTAAAATAAATAAATTCCAAACTATTTAATTTTATCTTTATGATTAGCATTTAATTTCCAATTCACCAAATTCATGTTGGGACTTGTGTGATGGTTTTAAAAGCTTAGTGGTGCAAGGATAGTCCATGCAACAGTGAACTACATTACTACAAAATTTTAGCAATAGTTTGAGCAAACTAGCCAATCTTATCTTATCTAATACAGACGTTACTTCAAAAAAGAAGATGATTACGTCCTACGCGTCATGCATATTAACCAATGACTTAAACTCTGCCAAGTCACTGGTTTTTCCTGGCTAGCTCAGGCAACCCATTCCATGCTCTAATAGCACTAGGGAAGAAGGAGTATTTGTACAAATTTGTCCTAGCATATGGGACGAGGAATGTGCCTTTACCTTTGTGTCTTTCAGAGTATTTTCTTAAATTCTGTTTTTGTATTTGAAGATTATGGTTCAGTGTTTTATGTATAATTGCTACTTTACTTTTGAGCCTTCTGTCCTGAAGGCTTTCTAAATTTAGTGGTTTTACTAAAGGTGTTAGTCTAGTCAAATGTGAATATTCGTTTGTTATGAATCTCACTGCTCTATTTTGTGTCTGTTCCAGTTTCTTAATGTTTTCTTGAGTTGAGGGGTCCCAAACGGAGGATACATATTCTATTATTGGCCTAACCAAGGTTAAATAACATTTTAGTTTTATGTTCTTATTTGATTTATAGAAATTTCTTTTAATAAATCGTAATGCTTTGTTTGATTTTTGTATAGTTTCATCAATATGTGGATTCCATGACAGTTTTTCATTTATTATAACACCTAGGTATTTTGCGTTTTTAGTCTGTGTTACTGGTTTGCCATGAATAAGATAAGTGGAATTAATTTGTTTTAATTTTTTTGTTACTCTTAACAACTGACATTTTTCTGGGTGGAAAGACATGCTCCAATTTTATTCCCATTTCTGTAATTCATCTAATTGTCTTTGTAAAATATATGTGTCTTGTGTTGTTTTTATTGTTCTATATATTATGCAATTGTCTCAAATAACTGACTTTTGTTCCTGAAGTAATGCAATTTGGTAAATCATTTATGTAAATTAAAAATAGTAGTGGACCCAAGACTGTTCCTTGAGGTACACCTGAGTTTACTGTTATCGGTGTTGATTTAGAGCCATTTATTATTACAGTTTGTTCTCTCCCTATCAGAAAATCTTTAATTCACTGATGCAGCGGACCATTAATGCCGAAATATTTTAATTTTTTAAGCAAACTATGGTGGTGAACTTTGTCAAAAGCCTTAGAAAAATCTAGTAAGATAGCATCTATTTGTTCGCTATTATCTAAACCTTTTGAAAAATCATCAATTAGTCCTATTAGTTGTGCTTCACATGATCTATATTTTCTAAAGCCATGTTGGTATAGTGTGAGGACATTATGTTTGTCTAAGTGGTTTATGATGTTGCTACATATTATGTGTTCTAGGATTTTACATGTGATGCTGGTAAGTGATACTGGTCTGTAGTTTCTTGGGTCAGATTTTCTCCTTTTTTAAATAGGGGGGTGACATAAGCTTCTTTCCAGTCCTTTGGTACTCTGCCCTGGTTAAGCGAAGCCTGAAAGAGTATTTTGAACACTGGGGCTAGCTCATTGCTTAGTTCTTTGAGTAATCTAGCTGGAATACCATCAGGTTCAGACGCTTTATTTGGTTTGGTGTTGGCTAATAGTTTTTGGATTCCATTTTCTTGTACTACTATATCTTCTATGTTGTCTACTTGGTTCAAATTCAGTAATATGTCTTTGTCTCCTGGGGCTGAGAATGCTGATGCAAAGTATTTGTTTAGGATGTTTGCTTTAGTTTCATTATCATTATGTATTATGTTATGTTCATCTTTTAATGGCGCTATGCCTGTTGTTTCCATTTTCTTAGACTTAATGTATGACCATAGGTTTTTGTTGTTATCTTTAGATATTACATTGTTTATGTATTCACTCTGCAGCTGTCTGCTTACTTTTTGGGTTAAGTGTTTAATTTTTATATACTTTTTGTAAACTCTTTCTGCCTTAGTTTCTTTAAATTTTCTATATAGGTTTTCCTTCTGTTTGCAAAGCTTCTTTAGTCTATTATTAAACCAGCATTTATTTATTTTGTTTGATGTGTAATTAGTTGGTATATGATTTTCTATAATGCTTTTAAGATGGTTTTTAATGAAATTCCAGAGGTCATCGACTGGTTGGTTAATGTCTTTTTCTAATAAGAATGTTTGTTGAAAGTTTAATGCAGCTTGTTGTAGTTGTGTTAGGTTACATTTATTCCAGAGTAAGATTTTTCTTTTGGGTTTTGTATTGGCTACTGCTTTTATCCGACTGTGTATTTTTATGATCTCATGGTCTGATAGACCAGGGATAATATCATAATCAACTACTAATCCAGGTCTGTTGGTTAAGAAGAGATCTAATGTGTTGTTTAATCTAGTTGGCTTTTTAATTATTTGATCTAAACTTAGGTTGTGTAAAGTTTCTATGAAAAACTCATTTATGTCCTTAAGGTTTTGGTGTTTATCTATGGTTAGTATTTTCCAATTTATATCAGGTAGGTTGAAATCACCCATAATCCAAAAAACTGCATTTTTATTTGTCTCTTTAAGTGTAGTAATCTGATTACATAGTTCCTGCATGTATTCTAAACTAGAATTTGGTGGTCTGTAAATGCTGCCTATTATTAGGGATGTTGAGGTGGTATTAATTTTACAAAATGTTGATTCTATATTTTTTGAGTTAGGTAAGGTAATTTCTTCTGCTATAAGAGTGTTTTTTATTGCTAAAAGAACTCCTCCATGATTATCAGCCCTATCTTTTCTAAAAATTTCATAATTACTATTGAAAATTTCTGCATTATAAATTTTAGGATGTAGCCAAGTTTCTGTTCCTGCAATTATGTCTGGTTTCTCACATTCTAATAAAATTTCTAAGTCTGCTGTTTTGTTCCTAATGCTTTGAAAATTTATTACTAAGGTTTTAAGGTATTTTGGTATTATTTCTTTAGTAGGTTTGTTTAGTGAGGCTGATGTATTAATTTTATTAGATTTAGGTTTAACAGGAGTGGATCTGGCTAAAGGTTGGTGAGTTTGGTTTGGGATGGTGTTTAGGATGTTGTATGGGCTAGAAGTGTCTGCATCAAAGGAATCAAGCAGTCCTGATGTAAACTGAGGTAACCCACACAGTACACAGTGCCATGATGTGTCTTTGTTGCCTAAGGCATAATACACAGGTGTATTCATATGGAGACATGATGCATGGTACCATTCATCGCAGGTGTAACATTGAATGGCTTTCTGTTTCATGGTGCATACTTTTTTTGCAGATGTTGCATCTATCTTTAGATCTAGGCCCTGGATTTGACTCTATATCTCCTGCTATTAATTTTAACAGTGATAGGTATTTATTTCTGCTGTGTCTGATTGAGAACTTCCATTTGTGATGGGTAATCTTCTTTAATGTTATGGATGTGTATGTTAGGTTATTTTTGAAGTTGCATTGATCTTAAGTGTGATGATTGATTATGACTGTTGTTTCCTTTTAATTTTAGTGTTGACTAAGGTAGATCTTGTTCTGTGTTCAGCTAGTGTGTATTTAATAATTATTAGGATAAATAGCCAGAGCAATTTCATGATGACTGTTGTTGATTTTAGTTTTTAAAGTTCTAGGTTTACAATGCCTAAGTTAAGTCTAAGTCTAAAGTGAAAGCTAATTTACAATGACAATGAAATCAAATCAAATGGTTTATTCAAAATATAAATATAGACCTAGACTAGATCTAGAATCTAGATCAATATATTTACATGTATAACTAACTATAAAAAATATTACTATTAGTTATTATTAGTAGTATTAGTAGATGATTAGTAGATCTAATGCCTTAACTAAAGTCTAAGTCTAACACTAGACTGGCTAGATCTAAAATCTAAGGATGTAATAATAAATATAGACTAGATCTAAATATATCTAATTAAATCTAATTATAAGCATAATAAGGATTAGTGAGACAAAATAGTCCTAAACTAAGAGTTGTTAATTTGAATTAATTAGTGGAAATAATGCTGAATTAAGCGAAAGCTGAGCTTATTTCTGTTTCACCAGATCAGGAATTCTCAGCACAGTCACAACAAATGTCATCTTCTTTATCAAGTCTACTTCTGTATTTAGACTAGATGACTACGGCTGGAAA